GTACTCAAATGGCCTCCACAGTCACCAGATCTCAATCCAATAGAGCATCTTTGGAACGGGAGATTCGCATCATGGATGTGCAGCCGACAAATCTGCAGCAACTGTGTGATGCCATCATGTCAATATGGACCAAAATCTCTGAGGAATGCTTCCAGCACCTTGTTGAATCTATGCCACGAAGAATTGAGGCAGTTCTGAAGGAAAAAGGGGGTCCAACCCAATACTAGCTTGGTATACCTAATAAAGTGGCCGGTGAGTGTATATATAGGTGAAGCGTGAGCAAAATGAATGCATCACAAATTGAACTGTTTTTTATACTAATATAATAATTWTGTTATATTAATATTAGTAATATAATCATAGAATGCAACTTTACGGTGATTTACTCTATTACCTTTTATCTTTGAAATATTTATTTTATTGCATTGAATTGTACATTCAAAATGGATAAGYGATTTTAAATCATTTTCTCATATTAAAGAAAAAGTTATATTGATTTTGGAGCGGGCTCATTGGTGGGCCAGATGGAAGCCACCTGGCCCGCGGGCCACCAGTTGATTAGACCTGCTGTAGTCAGTTGTAGTATTCTTATCAACCAGATTTACCTTACCTTACTGCATTGTTAGGCATTTAGAAAATAAAATACCTGTTAAAAAGTTTCCTTTCATTTAGCAGTTAAGGACATCTAGCTTCTCAAGATGCCCCTGCCCATCTCCACACCTCCATGAAGTACCTCCTGTCTGGAGCCAGAGTACTCATCTTGCTTCAAACATTGTTTTCTTATTCTGTTTAGATGAAAAGATAAAACAGATATATGCATTTTCACAAAGATTTCTATTAGCAAAAAAACTCACTATATTTTACCATTATGCAATTATTTATAGCAAAATAAAAGCATCAAAAGCATGTAGGCAGACGTGTATGGAGAGCGGTTGCTTCACCAGCACCACTGCAGCAGTAATGAGCAGCACACCAGCTAAAGGCAGCTCAGGTTAAATGGAGCTTGAACACCCAGCTGACAATGAACCGTTCACAGAGAGGCTGATCAGGGGGAGGAAAGGCAGAGACGTTCTGGAGCTGAACCTCAACACTTCACGTCAAACTACAAACAGAAGCAGGGAGGTCAGCGTGGCCGGGCTCCTCTGCTGAGTAAGTGCACTAATTAGTGCTCTGATGGGCAAAGAGACGTTCTTTAACAGCTTTAGCTGGTAGATGGAATAAAAAATACATTTGTCTGCGTTGAATTCAAACGATGTAGGAAATATTTCAGAAAATAACATTTTTTTTATCTAACATAGCGAACATGTCACCTGCTGACAAGGTTTTCTGTTGTTGCTCTAACCCCCACAGATTACTGGTCATGCTGAGAGAACCATTTTACAGGCTGATAATATCGGCAGGGGAAGGCATCCTTATGAGGTAAGCAGCTGTGCTGGCCATATTGTGTATCGATCCAACTTGTGCTGTGATGGCTGCACTTAATCAGATTTATATTGTAAACAAAGACTCGCAGTATGAAATGTGAATTAGCAGGTAAACGTTATCCATCAAAGGGAATAATAATATTTTGTGCAGTCTGATGCAGTATTGGTATTTCGCAGATTTACTGTGTCTGGACAGAAAATGGAGAGACATCTTTTCTCGGGGTTTTCTGCTGGCTGTAGAGGCTTGCAGGGTCTTTTCTCCTCGTCCCTGCAGGCATCGATTGCTAAAAACAATGCACAAAAATTGAGACGTGCATTTTAAACATTGATACATACCTTTCCACGAGTCCTTAAAAGAAGCGCAAACATTTAGATACAGARTTACTGAAGACGGCAAAGGAGGATTTAATTAGGGCAGCGTTCTAATTCTTTCTTGGAAGTTATTCAGATCATTTGAAATGTTTGAGAAAAATCTATCCATCTTTTAGATTGACCTCAGAGTTGTAAAGCAACTAAGTACAAATACTTTGTTACTGTACTTAAGTAGAAATTTTGATTATCTGTACTTGAGTAATTATTTTTCAACGTACTTTTTACTTTTACTCATTACATTTTTACACAATTATCTGTACTTTCTACTCATTACATTTTTTAAAAAGGTAAGAAGTAGAAAGTTGTTACTCCCATTTTATTCCAAGTTGTTATTACTTAAAAAAAATACTATCCTGATAAAATGTCTCCTGGATAGAGTGAATTTAATTGTGGTTGGATGAGAAGTATAAATATATACCATTCTGATACACTATTAGCTTGTACACAACCCGCAGCTGCACGCTGTTAGAAAATATATTTTTGGAGAAGTCACCTCCCAATAAATGTCATTTAGGAAAATCTTAACCGCTCACTTTTACTCAGTACTTTTATTTTTAATAACTCGATTTTGTGTCAGAAATTAACTTTTGATACTTAAGTACAAAAAATATCAGATACTTTAAGACTTTTACTCAAGTAGTGTTTTTAGAAGAGACAAACTTTTACCAAAGCAGTTTTATGATAAGATACTTGTACTTTTGCTCAAGTATCACTTTGAGGTACTTTATACAACACTGACCCCAGTTGATTCAGTGTTGGTTAGCTCGACAAGCTAACGGCTAGTCCATGCAAAATCAAGACCTAAAGTGAATTTCTTGCTATCCCGTAAATGTTATAAACTTTTTAACCACCGTCGAGTTCACATTTTAATGCAACAAGCTTCTGCTATTTGTTTGCATATAAAAAACTTCCCAAACTACACCATGTCTGCAGGGCTCCAACAGTGTTTCTGTTCCAATCAAAAAAACACGAGGAGGCAGAGAAATCTGATTCACCTTAAATATTTCCCCGCTTCTAGCAGTTTAGAAATAAAGGCTTTTCCAGCGGTTCACAGATTAATCTGATTAAATGACTTAGGTCAAATCTACTTCTTATTTTGGAAAGTTTAACACAAAACTATATGAACTTAGGTAGGAAGCAATAAGCTAATGCTTAGCTAGCTAGCACTTTTTTTTCTTTCAGCTGTTCAATAAAAGCAACAATTATGACCAGGAAGAAAACCTGTGGAAAGAAAGTCACATTTCTACATTTCCCCGGCACCACACTCTTTTCATGTATTTAATTTATTCTTAAAATATTTCATGATAAAAAAATGTATTTATATGACTTGTTTGCAGTGCTATTTCTCTCGCTGTCCTCGCCGCCGCGGGAGAGCGGCGGGAGCTGTGCGAACAAACACAAGCGCGAAAATAAATTAAGAGCTCAAACTCAGATAGGAAATGAATCAGTATTCCACATCGTGTACAATACAATATCATAGCAGATTTCAATGGCTTCCACTGACTACCATAGATTTACAATGTTTGATTGGCTGCAGATCAGTCCTTGATAAATTGTCACTTTCCTTTTTTCAATGTTTGTAATAGACTGTGACTTGTAGATGACCATGAAAAGAAAGCAGCTACTGAGGTGTGAACAGAAAATCAGAGACTATGAGCCAGCAGTAATGAGAACAGCGTTTGTTCACGTTCTACTAAACTGCCATTGTGACCACATTTAAGTCCAATAAGCTTCTCTACAAAGGTACAACATATAAAACTGTTAAATATATAACTTTTTAGGGCCTTTCAAAATACATTTAATGGCAATTCTTTCCTCCGTCGGCATTCATAAACTCTGTCGATATCCATTCTTTGATATAATCCAACATTTCCTACTGTCTGTTCAAACCATAGCTACTGAAAACTGCAAGTCTGATATTTGTCTTCCAATACACAGTAAAACGTCCGCAGTACCTGTTTGTCCAGTCTCAAAATACAGTTGTGGACTTGGAGAAAGGAAAAAAAAAAGTCTGGAAGGTTTTAAAAGTTTGTCAGCCACTTGTTCACCGTGTGTTCTTGTTGTGGTGACAAAGAATATTCTGGTTCTCCTCTCTGCCGTTAAGTTATTTTGCTCTTTGGTCTATAAAAATATGGGAGGTTTCCTCCAGCAGAAGGCCTATTCACAGCTGAGAGCTCACAGTTTGTTTGTTTTTTTATTCTTTTGAAACAGGGTTTGGTCTGTAATGATCCCAGCTCTGCTCTGGAACGACTGCACTGGATAAAGATTCAACAAATTCCTTTTTTAATGCAGCCAGAGTCCGATGACAGAAGGTGTCCAATCCTCCGTGGCACGAGCTGGTAGTTTCACAGAGCAGGCAGATGCAGTGGCGGCGAGGAGGGCTCGATGTGGTGACCCGGTGACAGACAGCAGTCAGGAACAACAGTCACTGCCCGGTCCGGATGTCTCAGGCTGCGTTACGAGACCTGCAAATCAACAAGGACAAAGGAAACAGGTCATTTTCCCACCATACAGCCACTTCACCTTCATTATTAGGAAATATGTCTATATTTTCTGCAACCTACCAGTGATAGACCTGTAGGAGGTTCAACCTCTGAACCATTCAGTCACCAAACACTTGTAGTTTTAAGGAAACGGTCAGTGGGTAAGTATTTACATATTACTGTCCTAGATTAACGTAACACCAGTAATTAGCTTTATTATGAAAGAACAAAGATGCTCTTCTGCATCTGATCAAATGTAAAATAAGTCTCTTCAAACATCATGTGAGGCTTTGGAATCATATCCTTTATATGACTTTTTAAAAACAGCATGAAAGAAGTAATTCCAGCTGAAAAACTTGTAAGGTGTATTTATTTTTTAACCAATGTTCCATTTGAACTGGGACCAACCGTCAGGAACTCTGCTCCTCGTTTTGCTTCAGCTTCAGGTACACTRCAAAAACTGTCCATCTTACCAAGTTTTAAAATCTTATATCAGACAAAAAGTCTTTTTGATCTTGTTTTGAGACTGATTTACTAAACAAGAACTGATTGTATAAAAATAATAATCTTGTTTTCAGAATGTGTAAGATCATTTGTCTTGTTAGTCTGAACATTTGACTCAAATTAAGTTAAAAATTTCTGCCAATGAAGTAAGAAAATTTTACTTGGTAAGATTCTTGAAATAAGTAAAAATTGAGTCAAATCAAGTATTTCAAGAATCTTACCAAGTAAAATTTTCTTACCTCATTGGCAGAAATTTTTTTACTTAATTTGAGTCAAATGTTCAGACTAACAAGACAAATAATCTTACACATTCTGAAAACAAGATTATTATTCTTACACAATCAGTTCTTGTTTAGTAAATCAGTCTCAAACCAAGATCCAAAAGACTTTTTGGCTGATATAAGATTTTAAAACTTAGTAAAATGGACAGTTTTTGCAGTGTATCCTGTATGATGTTCAGCTTGATTACATATTGATGGTCAGTACTTCATCTCTTCTTTGTATTTTCTGATCATTATGTTATTTTATGACGATACAGTAACATGTGACCTCTGACTGGAACATTCAAACCTGGTTCCTGTACAAGTTTTAAGTCTCATCCCCTCTAGAAAACAAACCAAAAAGTTACCCAGTCTTTTCCCCAAGTTAACTTGCATCACTGTATCACTGTTCAAATATTATTTTTTGTACACATTTAGCTGTAAGTAGTTCTTTCATGCTTAAAAGAAGATCATGGGGGAGTAGGCGGGACTTAAAGTCCCACATGATTAGTGCACAAGTTAGAACAATCCAACATGGTGGGTCCAATCGATCTATGCTTTCAACCAGGGGTGTCCAATCCTGGTCCTCAAGGACCACTGCCCTGCATATTGTAGAGGTTTCTTTCCTCCAACTCACCTGATTAACAAAATCCTGAATAATCTGAGGACCTGCGTGTGCATAAAACTGTCACAAYCGCCACTGTAATGTTTACTTTATATTAGGCATTCTCTCTTAAAGTCTAGTTTGATAATATTTGCTTATCTCACAGGAATCTGCAACAATGACCAAGTATTGAAACAGCTTCTCCAGCTGTGAAAAATGAATGATCTTAGCAAGAAGCAGGAAGCATCACTGGCAGCAGCTTTTCCTAACGCAATGTCACAAAATGTTTATAAAACTTACAGTTCTATTCACTAAGTTTGGTTTTAAAACAAACAAAGAACAGTCAGTCAGCAGAAAATGGTATAACTTCTTTCTTAACTCCCCACATGAGTAGTGTACCTGTATTTATCACCATTTAGACATGTAACAAACACGAGAACTGTCTATGGGAGACAATATTCACTATAAGCAGTTGGATTGTCCTGAAGAAGAAAGAAAGCACTGCTGTATGAAACAACAGACATGTCAACAACGTGGCAACACCAGACTCTGCAAGAAGAACAGAACCAAGCTTGAAAAATGTCATCAAACTGATTGGGAGATCTTTCATCTATTCCCACAGTGAGAACTGGTCCTCTGACCTCCACTGGTGTGTCATTAGGTCCAACTGCTTCCCCCGTCATCCTCACTAATCTTCCACTTCCTGGTCCACAGCTTCCATGACCTCCACTGCTCTTTCCTGTTCATTAGCTCCTCAAAGCACCCTGTAGTCCTGCAGTCCTCTGCTTTTGGAAACAGGCGTTGACCACAGCCGTTTAAATCTACCCCGTTTGTGCTTTCTAGTTCCTTTCCTGCCCTAAACTTCCTCATATCCACCAACAGGTCTGCTTCAATCACCACATGGACCCTGCAGAACCTCTCTACTGGTGAAGCTAACGGCTAACGCTAAACAGGCAAGACTCTGGATTTCCCATTACTGTACATGGTGACAACAGAGCAGGAAAAGGACTGACAATGTAGAAATCAAAATCTATTACTAATAATACTAACACAATTATTATTAATATTTTACAGTTTATATAATCTATC